GATGCAGAAGTGGAAATGAAAGTGCAGTGAACTATCTGACCTTGCACATTAGATGATGTGGGAATAAACTGAACTGGATTCAGCCCTGGTGTAAGTGGGTGCAAACCCACTGAAGTTAGTGGAGCCTCACCTATTCCAGCAAGGTGGAGCGTGGCCCTCCAATGGCACAAACCTGCCTGGCTCTGAGCACTCCTGTGCAGTGTGGGGGACCTGTGCTCTAGCTAATTTCAGTGGGAGTCAAGAGAGCTCAGTGCATGGCCAAACTGAGCCCTACAAACACCGATGGCTTGGGGTTTCTTCCCCCCAGCCAGCACTTTTTCAAAACTATCTCAGGCAGTGGTGTTGATGCTACTCTATTTGTTAGTGATGTGGTTAACAGCCAGCGGCACTGGCTTAGCGTCACAGGAGAAACAGCTCATCAAACTCTGCCTTTCTTCACTTGACGTTGGGTAGGATTTTACACAGTAGCACAGAAATCTAGCTCCAAAGGTTTGTGAAAATGCCCTGGACACCTGCTCTTCCAGCTGCGTTTTTGCTCTTCCTGCTTTTCCAGGGTACCCCAGCCCAGAAAGGTATGTAGTGAAGATTCAAGCTTTAACTTTGTTTTGGAATATCGTAGCTCCAATGGCTCAGTCTGTTAAATCCAAATTTGGCTTGGGGTCCTTCTAATCTGGGCAAGTGACCTGCTGTTCACAATTGTTGGGGAGTAACAATGGGTCCCCTAGGATTCCTTTCAACTAGTATTGAAGATGATTTGGCTACAAGCGTAGATAGAGCCACACCATTTTCATCACTCTTACAGAAAACTTATTGTCAACAAAATTCCACCAGGTCTCCACGGTGTATATATAGGTGCTAAGAAACCCTAGCCTACCTTGTTATTTATTTGCACACACACCTAGTTGGTGCCTGCAATTGTGGTATTGCACATACATTTTTGCAAGGCCTTTATGTTATGGAAAGCAAGGTCATGATGTTCTTTACCAAACTTGCTTGGAGAAGGATTTCATAACATTGTTATTACCTGCAAATGTACTCTCTGGGTGTTAACAGATGTTATTATCAACCGCTGACTGGGGAGAGGTGGGTTGGTTTAAAAGGAAACAAAAGTTTCAGAAGTTTTCTGAAATTTTCTGAGACTGAATTTGGTATTTCCCGGCCCATTTCAACTATCGTAGGATTGTTTTGTGTGTCATAGTATTTTTTAGACAAAAGAAAATACACTTCAGGTGATATATTTCAGCCAGCAACCGCAAGGATAAAACCCCAACAATGTCTAACAGAGATTTCTTGGAACCTTTTTAACTCTTCAGACCATTTGTTACAGTAGGACTCATACAACTAAAAATAATTTTTGTACAAATGATTTATTACTTTAAGTTCAGTTGCTTTTCTTCCCCTGCAGTACCTCTGTCTGTGCATAAAGAGGGAATATGTGATAGTGTGGGGGTGCTGCGAGATGAAGTATTTCTTACTGAGAGTTTGGGATAACTCAGTCACCCACATACATTGGAGCCAAAGAATGAATGCTGCAAATCAGTCCAATCAAGTGGCTATAGTATAAGAACTTTGTAGCACACACATTTTGTCAGTGCCCACTTATTTTGCTTGTATCTTTGTAGTTCCCCCTCAACTTTCGCCTTTGAAACATATTTGTATTATGGAAATAATGAAACCATTGGTATGGGTTGAGGAGTGTCATCCACAAGTGCAGAATATAGATTTCCACTGGTGGTGTTCTGATTAGAATTTGGGCCACTTTGCTTAATGATGAAATGCATCCTAGAATACGCAAGGAGCTGACTGAAGAGATATCTGAGCCATTAGCAATTATCTTTGAAAAGTCATGGAAGATGGGAGACATTCCAGAAGACTGGAAAAGGGCAAATATAGTGCCCATCTATAAACAGGGAAATAAGGACAACCCGGTGTGATGGGGCAAGGCCAGATGGCTACAGTAAAGTAGTGAGAAACAGGTATGTTAGCCCCAGGCTAAACAAATCCCTGGTACCATGGTAACCAAATGGCAGTTGCTCCAGGTTAATCAAGACACCTGGGGCCAATTAAGATCCTCCTAGAAGGCAGTGGAGATAGCTAGATTGATTGGGACACCTGAAGCCAATCAAGGACTGGCTGGAACTAGTTAAAAGCCTCCCAGTTAGTCAGTGAGGTGTGGGTGCCAGGAGCTATAGGAGGGAGATGTGCTGTTGGAGGAACGAAGTAGGATGAATCCATATCAGGTGCAAGGAAGGAGGCCCTGAGGTAATTGTGAAGAAGATATTGAGTGGGGGGCTGCTGTGGGGAAGTGGCCCAGGGAATTGTACATGTCCTATTTCCAAAAAGTCAGCTTCCATAGCTGCTAATTTTAGGGTCCCTGGGCTGGAGCCTGGAGTAGAAGGTGGGTCTGGGCTCCCCCCTCCCTTCCCTGATTAATCACTGATACTGGGGGACAACAGAGACTGTGTGAGGGAGGGTTGTTTCTCCTCACCTCCCTTGCTGGTTTATGATGAAAATGGCTCAGTAGACTGTGACCCTTGTCTCTAGAGAGAGAAGGGCTACGTGGAGGGTCACAGTGAGCCTCTGAGGCTAGCAAAATCTGTCAGGAAATGCAAGACCCACGGAGTAAAGGACAGAACTTTGTCACACTGGGGAATTACATACCAGTCAGCTTAACTTCTGTACCCGGAAAGATAATGGAGCAAATAAGTTAGCAATCAATTTGCAAACACCTAGAAGATAAGGTGATAAATAACAGTCAGCATGGATTTGTCAAGAACAAATTGTGTCAAACCAGCCTGATAGCTTTCTTTGACAGGGTAATAAGCCTTGTGAATGGGGGGGCGGGGTGGGAAGTGGTTGATGTGGTATATCTTGACTTTAGTAAGGCTTTTGATACTGTCTTGCATGACCTTCTCATAAACAAACTAGGGAAATACTGATTTTTTTTATTTTTTATTGTTTTCTGAATGCCATCAGGGTACTTAGTACTGTTCAAATGTAGTGGAGCACACACTCTGTGTTCCCAAGTGTGTGTTTATAATCTACGTTACTGATCTGAATCTTGCAGTACACAGTTCCTGTGGATTACTTTTGTATGTTTTATTATTATGGTGTGAAAGTCACTGGCAGCACATAAAACCCAAGCATTTAGCTGGAGTACCTGGAGGTGAAATCTACACCCCAACACAGGACCAAGGCCCTGGGCAGCTATCACAGCTCCTCCATTGCAGCTGCTACTTCAGTCCATTGCATGGAATAGTAGGTCCTCTGGACTTGTGTAAAGTCAGATCCGTGGCCCCTCACCTGCCCAGTGGCAGCTCCCAACAAAACAGGAGGGGAAGCAGACCAGTGAGCAACCCCTGAAGATACTGGATGGGAGACAGAAAGCCACTGGATCTCCCCTTGGAAGATAACTAAGATAAAGATGGAAGCCTGGGCCTGCTGATGGACAGGGGGGAAGTCTTGTGAGGAGAATGAGCAGATTTGTAGGGAAAGGCACGATACGTCTGGATACACATTCACACATTCTGATTCCAAATGACCAGGTTCACTCCAGAGTGAGAGGTCTGAGCTGGTTTCAGGAACCCAGCAAAGGCAATGGAGATAAGCTTCCAAGATGGTCAGCGGAAGGAAAATGGCTTTTAAAAGAGACTTATTTGTTCACCTCTCACTTTTAGATAGGGTGTAAGGGTGCACCTTACCCGGCTATCCTCCAGGTGCAGCCCTGCCTCAGTTTCCTCTCTGTGGGGTGGGATCTGTTGTAATCGCTCACAAAATGACTCAAGTTCTAACTCAAAGCTTCCCCTCCTGGGCCTTGGTTTATCACCGTATAAAATATATCCCAACAGGAGACCCGATCCACCCACACCTTCTCAGGATACCACAGCTTTCCTCTGGGCTTGTAGATAGTCCTTCGCCCTTCCTAGACTACAGGATCTTCCCTGGGAAGCTCCAGAGCCCAATCAATAGGGTGTGCAGATAACCCTCTTCTTGTGTCGGGGTTCATAAGTCCCACCCCTAGCTGTACAGGTTCCAGACAGCTATTGCCCCTCCTCAGGCTCTTGCTTGGAGGGGCCTAAAAATCACTGCTGTTCCCCTTCAGGTCTCCCAGTGGGCAGACTCCCAAACGCTCCCTGTCCCCGCCAGGTCTCTTTTTAACTAAGACAATGGTTTGGCCTTTTATATCCTGCTTCGTCTCCCATCAAGCCTCGCCCTCAGGCCTGCAAATCTAATAGTGCCTGAACTACAAGTCCCAGAATTCCCTTGATATAGCTCTGGAACTGTGAACAGTGGTGGATGGTGCCCGCCCTTGGAGGGCCAGCACGCTCTGTTACAAAGAGTATGGCAAAGACACTTGGCTCTGGAGCAGAGGGATGTTTTGTAATTGGAAGAGCTTGCTAGGGCAAGGCCACCCTCCCTCTAGTCTCAAACAGTTCCCAGTCAGCCACATGGTAATAACATGTTTTCCTTTCCTCCTCTCTGCACGCAGATGTTACACAGGAGCCAGCTATTCTCATGGTTAATGAAGGAGAGTCGGTCAACATAACCTGCTCCGTTACTACCAAGGGGATGCTAGTAGGGATGTATTTGAAAAAAGAAGTTGTAAATGCCATGGAAGTGCTATACATCACAAATAATGGTCATACCCGTACCATAGCCTTTCGCTACAAAGACCGCATCGAGATCTCCGTTCTCCAGACAGATGTGAGGATAACGCTGCACCAGTTGCAGAAAAATGACACTGGTTTATATGTCTGTAGAGGGAGTGTTCTAGAAAATTACGAGCCCAATTGTGTGTCGAGCCAAGGCACCATATTGGTGGTGAAAGGTATTTGTATGTTTTTCTATTTTTTAAGTGTAAATCAAATGGGTATTTATTTTCAGTTGAAAGGGCTGAGGAAGTGTAGAACATTAACTGAATGGTTGTGTTTCAGTATATTAGCACAGCCAAGGATGAGTTTATGGAGGGAAGGAATCTTCTTACAGTTGTGTTTTTCCTATATACAAACCATAACTTTTTGATCTGAAGACAACAAGAAAGAACAAAAGTAAAGTCCCCATGTGAGAGTCCAGTGTGTGTCTCATCTGTAACAGGCTGCAGCAAGTCTGAAAGTGAAATGGTTGCTCTTTCTGCATTGAACAGATTTCTTTGACATGTAAACAGGAAACAAAGGCATCATAGTTTTATAGCTCCAGACACCACAGTTATTCCCTCCCAAATTTGCTCTTCAGCCTTAAAATTTAAATGTAACCCCCATTTCCTTCCCAGGTTACTTGGGACTAAGCAACTCTCTCCTGTGGTCTGGGTGCCTATGGTCATTAAGGATAATGGGAATCCTGGGGGTCCCAGCTGAGGTGGAGAATTAGGTGGGAATCTTCTAGTCCCCCATCCGTAGTAGTCCTCTTACGCCTATGAATACTTATAGTTTGCAGTGCCTCCACCTGGACAGGCACTGTATACACCTGTGGCTTTCAAACTTTTATACTGGTGACCCCTTTCACGTAGCAAGCCTCTGAGTGTGACCCCCCCCCCCTTATAAATTACAAACACTTTAAAATATATTTAACACCATTATAAATGCTGGAGAAAAAGCAGGGTTTGGGGTGGAGGCTGACACCTCGCAATCCCCCATGTAGTAACCTTGCAACCCCCCTGAGGGGTCCCAACCCCCAGTTTGAGAACCCCTGATATACACCTGTGGGCGTAGCTAGGTCACCTCCAGGAACAAAAATGTAAATAATGGCAATAAACACTCCCATGGCAATACACACAATTCTACTTAAAACTTATCCTAACAACACACACTAGAACATGCAACAGACTGTGATAGGTTAAGTTGTTATATCTATGCCACGTTAGTAGGGGCTGCTGCCATCGCTCAGCTAATGGCTGCAACTTTCAACAGCAAGTTGCAACATAAACTTAACCAACACTCATGTGGCATTATACCCAGATCCACCCCAGCCCTGAGCGCACACTCTGCCTTAAGCTTATATAGTCCTGGGCCCTCTCTTGTGCAGGTGCTGAATGAGCAGGAGTTCAGGCCAGCACTTTGTAAGGACCGCAGAGGCAGTCCAGGTGAACCAAGGAGTGAGGCAGTTGTGTATTGTGACCAGCTTAGGTTGCACAGTATTAGCCGGCAGTACTGGTTGTTATATTAGAGAGCAATAGCTCAGGGGTAACTTGCTCTTTCCTCAATTGTCTGTAAGCCAAATTCAGACCTGCTGCATCACTGAGGCTAGGTCTACACTACGGGGGGCGGGGGAGTCGACCTAAGATACGCAACTTCAGCTACGTGAATAGCGTATCTGAAGTTGCGTATTTTAGGTCGACTTATCTGGCTGTGAGGACGGCGGCAAGTCGACCGCTGCCGCTCCGCCATCGACTCCGCTTCCGCCTCTTGCCACGGTGGATTTCTGGAGTCGACGGCAGAGCGATCAGGGATCGATTTTTATCGCGTCTTCACTAGACGCGATAAGTCGATCCCCAATAGATCGATTGCTACCCGCCAATCCGGCGGGTAGTGAAGACGTGCCCTGAGTTTCCAGCTTCTGCTCCCAATGCCTAGCTGTGGAGACGGAGCCCATGAGCGAGGACTCAGTCAGCGCTAACAAGTTGTCAGCTGCAGTTTAGTCTTAACCCTGCTTGTGTGTCTTCAACCCCGGCAAGAACAACAGGGCTCGGTTACGGTGTCTCCTGGGCCCAGACCCAGCCACTGCCCCCTGCAGCAGTCCAGTCCCAGAGGTGGCCCACCACTGCATCATGGACCTTGCAGTCCTTCAAAGCCAACACGTACTCAGTACACAGAGCTCTGTCTAATCAGGGGAGCTCTGAAAGGATTCAGAGGCGTCTCAGATAGGTGTGCCTACATAAAATATTAAGTCTAAAGCGTTTGTGAGGAATCTGTCCCTTTTGGGAGTTGTCTCAAGGACTCTCAGATTCCAGTGCTGCAACTTTGCCTCTTGCACAAAGCTAAAATATCACCTATTTGTCAGTAATAATGCTAAAATAAAAAAAATATGGAGATATACCTATTTCATAGAACTAGAAGGGACCCTGAAATGTCATCAAGTTCGGCCCCCTGCCTTCACTAGCAGGACCAAGTACTGATTTAGCCCCAGATTCCTAAGTGGCCCCCCTCAAGGGCTGAGCTCACAACGCTGGATTTAGCAGGCTAATGCTCAAACCACTGAACTATCCCTCCCCACAGTTAATTTCTTGCCACCACTAGGACAAGACAAATACAGCAGCAGATACTCATACTATGGGTAAATATTGGGTCTCAAGTCCCACATCCTCCCTTGGGACTTATAAGGAACAGAGGCGTTCGAAACCTATGACCTTCAACTGTAGTTTTAAGGGAAAGTGATGTAACAGTTCTTCCCTGTGGCAGAGTCACCCTTACATTCCTTTATACTATATCTTGGTGACACCACATTTTCTTAAAAAGCAAGATGGATAACGTCATTCCCACAGGTAACATTCACCCAGGATGTTGCTCCCGACGCCAAAATTGCCCAACAGAACAGGGAAGTCTGGTTACCTCTTTTCAAATACCTACATGACATAGACATCTCCCCTGGATCAACTTATTCCCACAGTCTCGTGCTGGTTCTCTATTGATATACTGCTTCTGTTCTGCCCTTTCAGCTTCCGCTTAAACACATGGAACCACCTGCTCTGTTCCACAAAGGATAATTCCCACAACCATTTTTGCAGTACCAGACAGTACAAAGCACTACTCTCTCCCCTGCAGAGCGACATAACATGTTCCTCACATGAAATCATAATTCTGCTTCTCCTCTGATAAATCACCCACAGAAATGGAGCAGGCAGAGTGCCATGTGGCTTCCTGGATGCCTTATGTCCTATCCTTCATGATTTTGATCTCGGTTTCTGCGCTAGGATACCTCATTCTGTCTCACATGGATGTAAGTATGTCATTCGGCCACAGCCGCAAAGTTTTCCGCACTTCTGACCCTGCAGCTAGGAGTCATCCCCAAGCACAACCATGCCTGTTAAAGTGCTGTGCACATAAAACATTGTGGAGCCATAAGACATGCATATGATAAACGTCTCTGACCATGTGCATCTTCTATTGTCCCTTTGTTCTTCCATCCCCACTGCTCCCATCCCTTTGTGTGCTGACATCCCCTGGTGTCAGGACTACATGTAGACTGTAAATCGCTGAAGGAGGGGCTGCCACTTCTATCATGTCTGTACAGCCCCAGGCTCATTTTCAGGCTCTATTATAATATAATAATTTCTTAGAGAGGAAGAGGAAAGCATGAGCCAGCTCCCCCCCCCCCCCCAGCTTTGCCTATGGACCTTGATGTGGTAACTGCATTGAAGTCCCACCATTCTGCAGTTGCTCTTCTCACTGAAGAATGGAATCTCAACAAGCCCCCTGTTGGGATGGACGAGAGGGATGTCCCCTCCTTGCAGTGTTCTGGGGGAGATCAGGGACACTGCAGGGTCATGAAGAAGCCCAGTGTCAGAGGGTAGCACAAGCATGTGTCCCTGTCATATCCTGACAATAAAGCTGCCTGAGATGGCTTGTGCAGAAAAGCCTCTTTGGAAATGGGCTGTGACTGACACACACACTCACCTCCCATGCCCCGCATGTTTATTTAGGAGAGTCATTTCAAACTTTAGAACAGGATTGGATGAAAGCCTTGCTCTGGGCCTCCTCCTAACGAGTTTACTAGGCACTGCAGTACAATGACGCCAGCGAGCCTCTCCTAAGGAAGCCATGTCTCCTCTTGCAATAATTACAAGACAACTGGCCAAAGCGGTTGCAGTCATGGATACTTTCAGCCCTCTAAAGAGCTGCTGGTGGAAGAGCCTGTATGAATTTTGGGGATTAACCCAGCCCTTTCTGCCTGTTGCCCTATGTAGTCCCTTTGGGCTACGAGAAGGACTGTTTTGTTATCTCTGCTCGTAACTCCCTGCACACTGAGATGAGACCAGCTCCTTGGCAGGGGTTCTGCTCCAGCCCTAGACCTGAATGGCTGCCTGAGTGTTTGTTTTTTTTTGTTTTGTTTTTTGCAGATCAAGAAACACTGCCAAGAAGGAAAGGAAAAGCAAGCAAATACGGTGTACGAAGACATGTCCTACACCCTTAGGCTCAACACCCTGGCCACATGCAACCCTTATAACAATTGTTAACAAGCTCTTGCTAGCTGAGGCGGTGTGGACATCAGCAGCTCTTCTCCATGTGCTTGAGCTAGAAAGGCTGACATCTGACAATCATTCCCTTTTAGAGAAAAGAAAAAAAATATCTGCCTTGTATCCTGTGCAATATTTCTGCTTATTTCACTCAATTGTGAAGACCACTTTGCAGGGAGGGGCGGGGGGCAGGGAGGTCACTTACAGAAAATGTAGAGAAATGAGTGCATCCCTGAACATGTGAGTGTGTGCTGGGGAAGGCGGTGTTAGATACTGTGGTGTATAGTCGACTTGATGCAACACCTGCCCTTGCTCCTCCCGTTAGTGATGATCACACCCCACAATGAAGCATGTGAGAGAAGTTGTGTTGGGAGCACGGGGAGGCACTCAGGCCCAGATCCACAAAGGGACTTAGGCACCTCAACCCACACAGGCACCTCTAAGTCCCGGTTTAGGTGCTACTGAGATCCACAAAACCTAAACAAGCTCAGCGCCTTATTTTGCAGTAAAAGTTCCCTGGGCACCTAAGTTCCTCTGGGCAAGGGCGCACCTGTCTCCCTCTTGGTGTCTGGCCACCTAAGTCAACAGGAGAGAGTGAAGGAGTCCTACAGCAGACTTCTCCTATGGCTCAGTGGTTAGCACACTCTCCTACAAGCTGGGTGACCCTTGTTCATAATCCTTTCTCCCCCTCAGGCAGAGTGGTGGGGAATTGAACCTGGCTCTCCCATGCCACAGCTAAGTACTCTGAAGTTATGAGGTAGGTACTGCCCATGACTGTTTTGCATGGGCTGAGGCAGGTGCCCAACTCATTCTCCCAAGAAACCACGTAGGGACCTAAACTGCCCGACTCCAGGCAGCTGGTTCCCGTTCATGGATCACTAGCAGAGATAGCAGCCTGGACATAGGCACCTATCTCTGGGAGAGGGGTGGGGGCTAGCACACCTGCCTTTTGTCAGCATCTCCCATTGGCTAGCTTAGGTGGCTTCCTGCCTAGCATACTGGCTTTTGTGGAGCTCATTCTAAGGTGCCTCTCTCTCCCCATGCATTGTAGAGGGAGCTTAGGCGCCTAACTCAGGCTCTGTGGATTGCAGTGTTGTTCTGTGATTTTCTAGGTACCTAAACATGGGGTGTTGCTATACTCCGCATCATAACGCCCAAGCCCCTGAGGTAGGCCTCAGACACCATGGTGATGGGCATCTATATAAAAACATAGATGGATGAATAAATAGATGGATTCCAGCATTTGCAACAAAGCACATGCAGCTGGGTAAGTGGGTTTTGTGTAATCTAAGGATTAGCAGAGACAGTTCCTCAGAACAGCATTCAAAACCCATTTGTGAAAAGGCAAAATACAAATGTAAAGCGCTTATCTAACCCCCCTGTAGTCACTGACTATCCCACAGGAATGAAGTTGGACCTACAGTGTGTATGACTGGTCTTGCTTTAGGGTAATAGCCAGATGGCTGGGATTCTTGCATTAAATTCAGGAAATGGTGAGGTTTTCAGGCCCATGACATCATGTCTTTGTGCGGAGACAGAAGCTGCTGTCCCTCTTTCTGGCTCTTTGTTTGTTTAATGTAGGTTATTACACAACACAGCTCAGTAAACCCACCTCAGTGATGCTGCACTGTACAATGACTTTCAAAATACCCTGGAGGGTTAGCTAGCCTGGGCCACAATCAGTAGCTAGACATCTGACCAGGGAGTGGATGAGCCTGGGCCAAAATCACTCTGAAATATTTACCTTTCTCTTGGTAAGATGAGTTTGAAAACTCAGTGTGGTGAGTAAAAAGCTACATTAGCTCTGTAATGGCTTATATATATATCTGTTCATTGGTTAGCAGGGAAGGATTTAATCCTCTTTCTCTCTGGCTAGAGGGCAGACCACAGCTGTCTGCCCTGAGTGCAGGGAGATCCAGAGTTAGCCCAGCTGTGGTGAATTAATTAATTACCCCCAGCCCCAGCACAGTATAAAACAGAGGAAGTGGGCCTGATATTTGTTATTAGATTCAGGGTGTTTAGGAAGGAAGTTAGTGAAGGAAAAGTTAAAATTTTGCGTTTTATTTGACTGAGGAACACTGTCTTGTATGTGGTTTGCAAAGGGGACAAGATATTCTTTATCTTGGGGGTATATTTCTACTTTGCATTATAAAGTTGTTCAAAGCGCACCAGTCCCCTTTCTCAGTTGGCACTGTGGGTGCTCAGCGCTTCTGAGAACTGGACGTGAGGTGTCCCAACTTGAGCACCCACAATCGGGCTGCTTCTGCAAACCTTGGCTTGAGTATCTCTATGTTGTAACCACAGAGCGATGCACAATTGTGTGTGTGTGTGTGAATCTCTTGTCTATTGAAGACCGAAGGTCCTTTTCCCTCCCCCCCCCCCCCTTGTTGACAGGAAATATTTGTGGTGGGTAATCTAGATGGTGCCAAGCAAAGAGATTGTGAGATGTTAGGGAGGGGAGAGGGTACTGGGAGAGGGCTTTTGGTTCTGTAACAAGCTGTAACTACAACAGAGTGGCTGATTGAACTAGTGTCTCATCAAAGATATTCTTGTTTTGTCACTTTTGCATGAGTAGCTTATTGAATATCCAGTACATTATTGCATGGCTGTAGTCAGCATGCTGTACTCACATATCTGCAATATTCATTTGTATGTGGGTTATGTATCTGTCAGCTCAGATCCTGTAATCCTTGCCCAGGCAGAGCTCCTGTTGCATTCACTGGAAGTTTTCCCTGAGTAAGGACTACAGAACTGGGTCCATAATGTTTTACTGTGTAATTGTTGGAAAAATACCAAATCCATAGGTTAACCTTTAAATGTGTATGAAATGCTACATGCACATTTATGAAGAGGGCTTTGCACATTTCTTTTTGTATCCACACTTTTTTTTCATGTTTTGTCTTTTCATGTTCTTTACAAATTAACATTATAGATACTGAAGGGACGCTGTCTTGTAATGTTTGGTTTTACTTTCAGGCTACTTTGGAGGTTTCCTGCAAAGCACAACAAAATCTGTAGCAGGCATTGCCTCTAACACTCAATTCCCACTCTTAAGGTAGCATGGGAAAATAGTGTCCAGTACATGTTGTTTTTCAATTTAGAGTAAATTGGTGAAGAAATTTGTGGGGAGGATCTGCTCACCACCTGAGTGCAGCTTTTACCTGCTTAAGCAAAAATTATCAAATATCAAGTTGATGGAGAGGGGAAGAAATACAACAGTCAACTACAATTTTGCATGACCTTTGAATAACCAGACTAAGAGGTTGCTTAGAACACTTTTCATTGTATTTTGCTGGATTCTGACTACCATAGATACAGTAACTCCTCATTTAAATTTGTCCCAGTTAACGTTGTTATATTGCTGATCAATTAGAGAACATGCTCACTTAAAGTTGCGCAATGCTCCCTTATAACATTGTTTGGCAGTAGCCTGCTTTGGCCACTGCTTGCAGAAAGAGCAGCCTGTTGGAGCTAGCTGATGGGGGGGGGGGGGGGGGTTGGAACCAGGGGGGACCAGAAGCCCCACTATTAGCTCCCCGCTCCTGTAAGTTCCCTGTGCCACAGCCCCCAGCAGGCTATCAATTGCGGGCAGTTCAGCTGTCCCTTCCCCCACTGCCATGTGCTGCTCCTTCCCTCTGCCTTAGAGCTGCTCCTGGGAGCGTCCTGCTTGCTGTGCGGTGGTGGAAAAGAGGGGTGCTAATGTCTGGCTCTCCCCCTGCTCCTGCCCCCCATCGCCATAGAGCAGGACAGGGGCTCAGGAGAATGGAGGGAGTTTGCTGGCAGCAGCTGCTGTCTCAAACTTGCTGATCTGCTTAAAAAGGCAGTGTACTTAGAATGGGGTCAGCGTACTTAAAGGGGCAATGTGCATCTCTCTCTCACACACTCACTCACTCTATGTGTCTCTATCTTTCTCTGCCATGCTGTCTTCCCTCCCTCCATTCATGCTGCCTTGTAGAATGTGAGGCTACATTAACAACCATGTTTTAACGCTTGAGGGCTCAGCTGAGTGCTAGTTCATCGTTTAGCAGTAAGGCATTCCCTGGGAAATATCTCACCCTCTGCCTTCACCATCTCAACCAAGCTTCACAATCATCATTGCTGTGTACAGTATTAAATTGTTTAAAACTTATACTGAGTGTGTGTATATGTATATGTATATGTGTGTGTGTGTGTGTGTATATATATATATATATATATAAAATGTGTGTGTGTCTTTTGTCTGGCAAAAAAAAAAAAATTCCCTGAAACCTAACCCCCCATTTACATTAATTCTTATAGGGAAATGGGATTCACTTAACATCATTTGCTTAAAGTAGCATTTTTCAGGACCATAACTACAACGTTAAGCGAGGCGTTACTGTACTCGGTTATCAGTACTGGCTTTTGCTGCACTTCTGCTAGGGCAGACTATTACTGGGGGGTTGGTTCTCATATATCCACATTGCTGTGCACATCTTGACAATATTGGGTTTGTTCTTGTTGCTTGTATTGTAAATTGCCAATAAAATATTCAAAAAGCAAAGCTGTTACGCATGCTCTATGCTATCCCACATACAGCTGAGGACCCCAGTTCATGTAATAAAAGTTCAGAAAGCTTGATCCATTTGTTAGTAGCCTCGGTGTAAATATGCGATACAAGATGTTTTACAGAACCTGAGCCCAAGATGTGATCATGAATACATTTTTGGTGTTGATACCAATTGAACATTTCTAGTGCAAATAATTTACAGTCATGACTGTCACTGAGCTAGCAGCAGGGCTGTGGACAGAGGTCACTCTAGCACTATTACCAATGTCCAAACATTAGAAAGATGTGTGGGGTTATAGATTCATTGGTCCCTGACTGTCCTTAAAACACTTGAAAAGCTCAGCCAGTACCAATGTAGCTGATCAGCAATGGGGAATGGCAGTGTCACCTCCTCTGTCCAGCACTGACTGATATGTTTTGCATGATACATATTTTTCAGAGAATCATAGTCCCTAGCTTTGTAAATGACTGC